ACATCCTATTTAAGTTGACGTGATCACTGAAGCACGCGCTGCGACCCGTTCACTAACCCTGCCTTGTTGCCGCGCGACGGGCCTCCTGTCGGATACCCCATCTACTTTCATTTTCGTGAGCGACAACCCATATCTAGGCCGTCGTGTGATGAGCATTCAGTACCTTCACTTCACTGCCGTTCCTTCAAAAAATATCATACCTCTCAAAAATCTCAACTACTTTTCTCTCGGAAGCTGAAAACTCACTTCTGATCGAGTCTTCTCTTGTAATCCCACATTGCCAAATAGTGTCGGCAGGCGCTTTGGAATTTGGTGATGATCTTCGAAAGTTCTTCATCGCGAAGTTCTTCGAGATGAGCCAGCACACCAGATTTGAAGAAAATCTGCATTGAAGCACATTTCATTCAACACAGCTTTGTGACGTGATCCATTTGAGCAGACCTATCGCGTGTAAATTGAGATAGGTATTGATTTGTCTTGAGTTTGCGCGCGAAAAATCGATACGCTATCCACAGGTATGTTCCAACCCGAGGAGATCCAAGCATGTGCCAAGGCAACATACTATTTGCGCATCACAGAAGGTCAAAGTGCAGATAGAGCGGATTAAGTGCAGGCATAGAATCATTGTGGCATAAATTGAGCCTTCTTACCCCCCCCCCCCCCCCTTCTTTGAATGATATGAAGAATGGTGATCGAAATCGTTGTCAAATGGACATGAAGAGGCACACTGTCACGATGACACACTATGTCTCTATAATAAATTGCCAAAAAGAAGAACTGTACTAATATACCTTAGTGAGACCGCATTGGTACTCTTCCGGTTTGATCGAGCCATTGGAAGCGAGCTTGGCCACGATTCCATCACCAGCCTCCTTGTCTGACTTTGCTTTTTTGGCGGCATCAGCAGCAAGTACAGCATATCTGAGAATGATGTTCAAAGTCGTGGTTATATCGCCAACAGTACAAAAATCGCTCTCACCTCTGTTTGAAGTCGAGGTACGGCATGCGATTGGGGAATCCTTTACGACAAATACGAATTCCTTCCAGTACACCATTACAAGTCAGCTGATTAAGCACCAGATTTGCCTCAATCACACCTAAATATGATATCTGAATATTGGACTCCTGTGTCCTTGGGCTAACACTGCTGGCTTGGAGATTTTCATTCTGAATGTTTTCAGGGCTGTGGTATTGCCTTGTCAAAAGCCTCGCATACATAGCATTGCACACACTGCTTACGTTAGTGAATTCGTCCCTTGAGATTGATTCCACCGCATGTGCAAACGTGCACTCCTTTATCATATTACCAGGTTTGCTTCGCTTGCTATCGCGCGCATCACAGGGTAACCACGAATAAGCACATGACGTCGCTCATTAAGCAGCCTCCCTATTGAATGAGTTATACCTCCTTATACTCCCTCTCCGGCGCATGGCAGCGTCATGTTTCTCCCTTTCTCCTCTCCCCCTTCCCTCCCTCTTTCTCTCTCTCCCCCCCTCTCCCCTCCCTTCCAGCCTCCCCTTTCTTGCCCCTTCCCTCTACCCCTCTCCACCCTCCCCCCGCTCATCCGGCTGCCACGGCAGCACCATGTAGAATGAGACTGAGTGTGCTCGATCGGTGTTTATAGCCGCTGTGGGTTTATCATGATCATGACATCAACATCACGAAGTGTTGCCCTTCGTACTCCCTGGTTTTGTGAGCGGTCGGTCCGGACGGACAGAACGACACACACACACCGACAAACCGACACACCAAAGTTCTGGTTTTATAAATGAGAATGATAGCGATGAGCGACTAAGCACATCCTGTTCAATCCGTAGCCATGCAGTCACCCTAATGTTCCTACAATAGCACCGGGGTCGATTGATGAGGTTTGTAGATGTAAGGGACGGTCGTACTTGCTTCGGTGTAAACAAGTTGCATGTCGAGAGTGGGCAACGAGGCGGGGCGGAAATTTTGCCCGTTTTTAACGCGTCTATACCGCCCCCCCCCGCTTCGAAGGGTACATTTGTGCAAAATTCTGTTTTGAAATGTTTGACAAGAGTGGGCTATAAACATTTCAATGAGGCGATCGGCGTCGGTAAAAACTTTGAACCCAGTGCAACGGATAGGACCGAATCCGACCCAAGAACTTTAGTAACATTTTTACGACGGCCTGGATTTGAGCATAATTTTCAAGGAGTTGAACTGAAGGTGCTAGTCGATTCATAAACAATGTAATAGACATCAAAATTCCCCGGAGTTCAAATAAAATTTTAACGCACTAAAGACAACTCGCGTTTCGGTGAATCGGCCACGTGGGCCATGCGCGATTGCGAGTGTGGTCCTCCTCATCCACTGTTCGCTTTTTGAGGTATTTTAAGCCATTTTCGAAAACTACTTAACCACTTTCCAGGCTACTTCGCCCATGGTTGTATGGTCTGTGTGACCATGAGCATAAACTGCAAAATAAATATGAAAAAATTTGATAAGAAGCCAAATGGTAACTATCATGATTAGTCAACGATAGGCCCGATGTTTCGAGTGATAAAATGATATATTGGGAGTTCCATGCAATCTTTTCAGTAATGGGATGAAGACGATTAATTGTGATGTCACGTACCGCTCTTCTTTTGCTCGTTAGGGATGATACACCTGATGAAATGTGGATGAGTCTGATTGAGCATGTGCATCAATTTATTCAAAGATTCACGATACATCATGGATACCGTCATGAACGATGCTGATTTGCCCTGAAAATAGCGGACAAATGAAAATTGAAGAGCTACGCTCATTTGAACAAATTCGTTTTCTTGAATTGAAGCTCATCTTATTTGGATCTGAACACTTAATCATTAATTGTTTATCTCTGGCTTTTCCTTCATGTTCTCCTAGTTTATAGTCTTTCAAATCTGAAATGGAATGGTAGATGCCTATATGTCAACTAATGTTGCCATAGTACACCAGAAGTTTTTGTCAAAATCTGCAAGAGTAGTGATTTGGTCGAGTCACAGCGGGATTAAGTATAGATTTATGCTCATATATCTCAGCAGGTCACACACTTCCATGTCTGCGTTTCCGCCGGTCATCACGCTATGTGAACGGATCTCATCTAGCTTCGAGCACCTTGTGCCTCTAACACTCGACAAATGT